CTATGAGTCGAGTCCGACTCGACGGCACATAACAACAACATTCAGTCAGCTCTGACTCCTGACGACCCTCTGTACAACAGAATGAAACGTTGCCAGGTCCTATACCATCTGCATTAGGGGAAAAGTGACCCCAGGTTCAACAGAGACACTTTCATTGAGCTTTGGACAGGAAAAAAACAAAACAAAGACAATCCTCCAGGATGAGGGATGCCATCAGCATGTACACAGTACAGAAAGCCAAATGGAGTCCACGGGGTTGTGGCCATGGGGCTAATTAGATATGATTGAAAACAAAAGGAATCATCACAAAATCCTGATTGGTGGCATATCTAATCATCACTGCTGCAGGCAGGACTACAGAAGCAGGAAAAGGACCATGATTGGGATATGTGCATAATTGAAGACAGAAAAGTGTCCAGGTCTGGTCCTGGGCCTTACTACCTGGCTAGTGATACCACCTCGGAAACCGCCTCATCAGATACCGCCTCACAAGGGTCGCTATGAGTCGGTCCGACTCGAAGGCACAAAACAACGACAACCTGGGACCTGACCCCAATCTGGCAGACATCTGGCTTCTTGCCCTGGAGGGGACAGCCATGAGTTCCGGAAGGAAGATTGGGGATCTACTTCCGTAGTAGTAGTGTTACTGTTATGTGCTGGGGAGTTGGACCTGACTCATAGCGACCCCTCCTCAGGTTTCCAAGGCGGTATCACTGCGGAAGTAGATTGCCCAGCCTCCCAGCCTTCCCGGTAGTGATACCACCTCGGAAACCCAAGGGGGACGTCACTGTGAGTTGGATCCAACTCCTGACTCCACTGCAGTGAGTTTGATTTGGGTTTTAACCCTAATTTAAATTAGATAAGGACACACCCTGGCAAGTTCCCCAGTTCTTTGTGTCAACATAATCTACTTTCAACCACACTCTCCCTGAGGGCAACTGCTCCTCCCCAGGTTTGTCCTGGAACTTGTCTAGGCATCTGAACTTATGTCAAGATTCCAAACGGAGTTAGGGCTCCCACTGTAGCTTCCACCAGCCACGTGCTTTAGAATTTAAGCCCTAATACTCATCATGACCATTGCTTTGCCCGAGTCCATTGTTGTAGCTGCTGTGTATTGTGGGTGCCTTCCATCTAGGGGTTCATCTCCCAGCACCATATCTGAGAATGTTCTGTTGTGATCCACATGGTTTTCATCACCTGATTTTCAGTAGATTGCTAGGCCTTGCCTTCTAATCTTACTCTGGAAGCTCTGCTGACACCTATATCCTGTGGGTGACCCTGCTGGTATTTGACATACCAGTGGACCACAGTATGACAGGCTGACAGATGGGTAGTAGAAGGTCAAAACTAGGTTCTTGAAAGTGGCTGATCGAATCATATATATTTATACTCCCCTCTGCAGAGGATGGAGTTTAATTCTGCCACCACCACAACCACCTTGAGGGTGGACTGGACTTAGTGCCTGGGTTCCAAAGACTGAAGTAGAGAAAGGGAAGGAAAAAGAAAAAATAACTTGGCCACGGAGACATCTGGCAGATACCACCTTACCCAAGTGGCCAACATTGGTGTCACCCAGGATAAGTCATGTGGATACCAGGTGACCACTGATCTGATGCAATGAGGGCCCCATCCCTGTGGGATTCTTCCCCGAAACCCATAACCCCAGTTTAATCACAAGACAACATCAGACAAACCCAAATGGAAGAATTTTTTTCAAAATCCTTGTCCAAAAGTCTTCAAAAAGTCATAGAAAACAAGGAAAGGCTGAGAAACTCAAAAAACTAAAACTAAGGAGATAACACAATGCATTGCTGTCAAGTCAGATGCGACTCATAGTGACCCCTCCCTGGGTTTACAAGGCAGTATTACTATGGAAGTAGATTCCTCAACCTTCCTTCTGGGGAGTGGCTGGTGGGTTTGAACCGCCAGGCTTCTGGTTAGCAGTCAAATGCCTTAGGCATTAATCCACCAGAGCTCCTAAAACTAAGGAGATAGGTTTACTAAATGCAATGTGGGATCCTGGCTAAGTTAACATTTTTTAAGTAACAACTGAAATTATGACTGATATCACTGCTGTGGTTAACATCAGGCAAAGCACCCCCAGAACTCTCACATAGAAACATGGGTGGATCTGCCTTTTAATTAACTCAAGCCAACTGATTAGGGACTTAAATTACATCTGTAAAACCCTTTCTGGTATATAATGCAGTATCATATTTACACCACAAAGAACAGACAGATGAAGGATATTGAATGTGCAAATCAAGGCAAAAAAAAAAAAAATTGGGAGGGGATATCCCTCCATGGGGCAGAATTCATTCCCATGTCTATAGGCAAGAATTATTTTTTTTACTGTTACTGGTTATTTATAACTACAGAGTTTGTAAAACAGCTCCTATACAATCAGAATCAGGGAACCAAAACCAAACCAAACCCTTTGCTGTCAAGTCGATTTCAACCCATGGCAACCCGATAGGGCCAGAGAACTGCCTAGGATTTTCAAGGCTGTAATCTTTAGGGAAGCAAACTGCCACCTCTTTCTCCCCAGAGCGGCTGATGGGTTTAAACTGCCAACCTTTCCGTTAGCAGCTGAGCGCTTACCCACTGTGCCATCAGGGCTCCTATCAGGGAACAGCAAGTGTGGTTTGTAAAGGGCAAGACAGTAAATTGTTTCATCTGTGTAGGCCATACTGACTGTAGCATACAAAATAGATATAAAGAAACAAGTGAGCATAGTTCTGTTCCAATAAAGTTTTATTTGTCAACACCTAAATGTGAATTTTATATAGTGGTCACTTGTCACAAAATATTTTTTTACCATTTAAAAATGAAAAAAAAGAAAAATCTAACATGCAGACCTCACAAAAACAGGCTTTGCCCTGATTTGGTCCGTGAGCTGTAGTCTGCAACTCCTTCCAGAGTCTTCTACTGGAACATTTTCCCTACATGAATGTAAGAGATGAATGAGGATGTAAGAGTTCCTGCAGCATCAAAAAAAAAAAAAAAAAAAAAAACCCATTGCCATCGAGTGGATTCCGATTCATAACAACCCCCACTGGGTTTCCAAGACTAAATCCTTACAGAACTAGATTGCCTCATCTTCCTCCCGTGGAGCAGCTGGTGGGTTTGAACTGCTGACCTTTTTGTTAGCAGCCAAATGCCTTACCCAATATGCCACCAGAGCTCCATGCAGCATCATAAAGCTGCTGTGAAATGAGTTAATACATGTAATGGTGCCTAATGTTCTAATTATTCTTTCATTAGACCTTAAATTCTAAAGCATGTGGGCTGTGGGAGGTTGCAACCTACAGCAGGAGCCCTGATTGCATTTTGAGTCTTGACACAAGTTCAGAGGCATTTGGATTTTTTATGTTAATTCTTCAATGCTTGGTGACCTTTAAACCAGCAACTGTAGCTATGCTAAAGTTAGTCTGGGACAGCCCAGAGAGGGCGGTTTGCTCTCAGGCTTACACAAAGAACTAGGGAAACTGCCTGAGCCTCTCCTTTATGATTTCTCAGAAAACAACCACATGGTATGGCACAATGGTTAAAGCATTCAGCTGGTAACCAAAAGGTCGGTGGAGAGCTTCTCCATGGGAGAAAGGTGAGGCAGTCTGCTTCTGTAAAGATTTAAAGCCTTGGAAACCCTATAGGACAGTTCTAATCTGTACTATAGTGTCTCTACCAGTCAGAATCGATGGCAGTGGGTTTGGTCTTTATTTAATTTAAAGTTGGGGTCCTGGTGACTATGACTCAGGGCCGCATGATCATGAGTCATCCTCCAACCACAGCATGGAAAACCCCAAAACCAATTTGTAACCTTTTTCAACCTGCAGTCATGGCCCTTCCTCTTCCTCCTATAGTTCTACCGGCAAGTGATGGATTGACCTGCCACCAATCTTGATCTTGCGATGATGTCCTTTGTTTTCTATGTTGCTGTTGTTGGTTGGCACCTTTGAGTTGGTTTGGGTTCATAGCAACCGCATGTACAAAACACTGGCCGGTCCTGCGCCATCCTCACAATTGCTGCTATGCTTGAACCCATCCCTGAAGCAGCTCTGTCAATCCATCTCCTTGAGGGTCTTCCTCTTTTTTGCGGACCCTCTACCAAGCACAATATCCTTCTGATAACATGACCAAATTACAAGAGATGAAGTCTGGCCATTCTCGCTTTCTAAGGAGCACTCTGGCTGCACTTTTCTGTCATATATATGAAAACCATAGCTCTGATTCAGTGGACTCCACCGGCTTCTGTACTGCATGTAGACGATTTCCTTCAGCCAGTTCTATTTTGTTCTATTTAAGGCTTAATAAAAGGGTCTCTATGTTTGAATCTGGCATCTTTTTCCCCTAGCACATTCTGGAACTTAAGTCAGAAGCCCAGCTGAGGTCAGCATTGAGGTCAACGTCTGGACTAGGGCAGATTTGGATTGACGCGCTTCAGAACTGAAGCTTCCATCCCCCATTCCCGTTAGTTTTGCGCAATTAGACTCCCGCTCAAGTAGCTATCGTGGTCTCCGGCTGAACCCTTTCAGATTCCAGAAGAATCTGAAGGGTAACTGGCTAGGAGAACGCAGTAATTGTCTAAACTCGGCCATCACAACGCGGGGGGCGAAAGATTTGACAGATTACTTTCTTCGATTAGCCAGCGTAGGGCTGCAAAATGTGGCGACGGTTCCCATAGGCTGGCCAAGGAAGGGGCGGGAAAACGAGCCTTAACTCCAGCAATTGGCATGCGAAGTATGGCACCATGCTTCTTTACGATTGGTCCTAGGGTGCGGGAAGGCGGAGTACGGCTTCGTAAGCGATTGGCCCCGGGATGGCATGCCTGTTGCTTATTGGCCAATATATGGCTCGGGGCGAGGAAAGTGTAGTCGGAGGCTGCCGTCTATTGGTCAGCATTGCTTGGGGCGGGGCATGCGGACGGTAAAGACAGTCTGCGATAGGCAGCTTGGCACGGAGCAGGTATTCCGGTACAGTAGTGGCTCACGATTGGCTGACGCGGCACAGCTTGCCGGTTTCTGGGTCTGGCGCGGCTATGGCGCCCGGTGGCTGGCGCTGGATGCGCGGCTTATTGGCGGTGGGGAAGCCCCTGTTCCAGGGCCGGGCGCTGCTCCTCACTAACACACTGGGCTGCGGCGCGTTAATGGCTGCCGGGGACGGCGCGCGCCAGTCCTGGGAGGTCCGCGCTAGGCCAGGCCAGAGGTTCGACCCACGGCGCTCTGGTGAGCAGGCGGGCCTCCTGGCCCTTGACCCCCTGGGGCCTCTGACTTCGACTTCATATTCGGAGAACCCCGCACTGCATCCGCTGGCCGTGATTCCTCACATTTGATCTCAGTCTCACGCCGGACCCTTGACCTCCATGTGCACCTTGGGCCCTGATAGCCCCTCCCCAGCCTCTGCTCTGCCTACCCCAAGGATCTCCATCCCCTCGCACCACTGGGATCCTCGTTCTCTCCCATCCCCGCAGTCTCCTCCCCTCCAGGTTTCCATGCCCTTCCATTCCCGGGGTCTCCGTCCCACCCATCCCCAGCGTCCCAGTTCCTTCCAATTCCCAGGGACTTCATCCACTCCCACCCCCGGGATCCTCATCCCCTCTTCTCCCCGGAATCCCTCCCCACCCCCAAGGTCCTCGTTCTCCGCCAGCCCCCGGGTTCTACTTCTCTCTTCTCGGCATTTCCTTCCTTTCCACCTCTGGAATCTCCTCCTATCTCTGGGGTCCTCATCCCCTTCCACCCCCGGGGTCTCCTCCCATTCCATAGTCTACATTCCTTCCCATTCACAGGGTCTTCATACCTTTCCATTCCCAGGGTTTCCATGCCTTTCCATTCCCTTGTCTCCATTTCCACTCATAGCGAATCATGGTCCTTGCACTTGCACGGCCCAATCCACCCCACCCCACCCCCGTGCGCAGGCCTCTCATGCACCAGCCCGACGTTTTGTGGGAGGTGCTTTGGACCCAGCCAGCCTGGCATCCTGCCCTGGCCCTGCACTCTGCAACCCACTATGCCTCGGTTTCCTCTGAAAAGCACACCAGTGATAGAACCCATTCGCAGCGGGTGGGGTCAGGATGGAGCGGGAAGACACAGAACACCTGGAACAGGCCTGGTGGGCTCTCCTGTTTTGGGGCTGAGGAACTGAGGCTCCAGGAGAGTCTGAATTGGAGGATCTGCTGGTCCTGACGCATGGACTCTTGCCCTCTTCCCCTTCAGCGAGCATGTTTGCCATGGGCTGCAGCATGGGGCCCTTCCTGCACTACTGGTACCTCTGGCTTGACCACCTGCTCCCTGCCTCTGGCCTCCGCAGCCTCCCAACCATCCTCAGGAAGGTCCTGGTAGACCAGCTGGTGGCCTCACCCATGCTAGGTGTCTGGTACTTCTTAGGTAAGGAGCTCCGTGTCTGAGTTATCTAGGGCTGCAACCGCACAAACACCACAAATGGGGGACTGTAAAGAACAGATTTATTTTCTCTCAGTTCGGGAGGCTGGAAGGTGAAAGTCAGGGTATGGCTCTAGGAGAGGGCTTTCCTTATTTATTTCAGCTCCTTGTTACTTGCCGTCCAGTCCATTCTGACACATGGTGACCCTACATGTGCCAAGTAGACTGCTCCATAGGGTTTTCAAGGCTGCGACCTTTTCAGAAGCAGATGGCCAGGCCTTTCAGCTAGGAATCCAGTCCTTAACAGTGTGTGCCACTCTAATAGCTGCTGGCAATCCTGGGTAATCCTGGGCTTGTAGTTGGTCCTCCTTGTGTGTGTTTCTGTGTCTCTTCTGCTCTTTGAACTCAGAAGTGGTCAGATTTAGGACCCGTCCTATACTGGTATGACCTAATTAACGTAACAGAAGAAAACCCTATGTCCAAACAGGATCATGTTCACAGGTACAAGGGCCAGGACTTCAGTATATATTTCTTGGGGACACAGTTCAGTCCAATACACCCTGTGAGCCTTGACTTTGTCCCTCATCGGCTGGGAGGAGCAGAGCCGGCTTTGTGTTAAGAAGGATACCAAGGTGTTCTTCTGATGAGCTTCCTGTGTGTGTGGCCCTGGACTGGGGAGTTGGTCACAGTGGTGACTGGACAGATCTGGTCTGGGCCTCAGGGAACCAGGAGGACTGTGAGTGTAGGACAGTGAGGACAGCATTGGTTGGTGCTGTTCTCTGAGAGGAGCCCAGGAGGACTTCCCACAGGAGGGGACACTCAGCAGAGACTTGGAGGGCTTGGTCAGGCAGGGTAAGCAGTTCATGCAAAGGCCCTGACACCTGATGGAAAGGACAAAGGCTGGGGTGGGGGCACTACGGGTAGGTGGAGGAGCCAGAGTGGCTCTAGTGGAGGAGGGGCCCCCAGCTCTGTAGCCCCAGCCTCCAGGTTGTTGGATCATTCCTCACCCCTGGCCCCTCCCCACAACACCATGCCCCTTGGCTTCATTTCAGCAGCTGGTCTCACTAACCAGCCCAGACCAGCCCAGCCCAGACTCACTGCCTTCTAGTCAGATCCAACTCACAGCGACCCCTCCTTCGGTATCATTAGGGAAGTAGATTGCCCAATCTTCCTTCTGAGGAGTGGCTGGTGGGTTTGAACTGCCAGCCTCCTGGTTAGCAGTCAAATGCGCTCCCACTAGGGCCTGTTAATGTCTTGCTCCTCCTCCCTGAGACACTCTCCGTGGGGTCCCTTGGGCGTCACTTCCCCTGCCCACCTCTTCCACCATCGCCCTCCCTGGCCTTTGACACACATTTCCTGGTTTCCTTCCTAGGACTAGGCTGGCTGGAAGGCCAGACGCTGGATGAGAGCTGCCAGGAACTTCGAGACAAGTTCTGGGAATTCTACAAGGTGGGGTAACCTGTCAGGCCCCACCCACCCTTTATGTGACAAGCCTCACTACCCAGACTTGGCTCTGACCCTTACCCTGCCCCCTCCTGGCTCCACCCATAAGTTGCCCCGCCCTTCACCACCCACCTCTCCCTGGCAGGCTGACTGGTGCGTTTGGCCCCCTGCGCAGCTGGTGAACTTCCTCTTCGTGCCCTCCCATTTCCGGGTCACCTACATCAACGGTGTGACCCTAGGCTGGGACACGTACCTCTCCTACCTGAAGTACCGGGTGAGCATGTGAGCAGGCCAAGCCCCCGAGTCCTGGCCCAGCGCCCTCCTGTGTGGTAGGTTCATTCCCACCAGTGTGATGTCGATGCGACTTCGGCCAGGTGCCTGTGGCAGCTGTGGAGCAGGGCTGACTCCAGATGGAGGACAGGTGCACGGTGCTCCATGAGGCTGCCAGGAGCGATAAAGCAGGCGTGGTGCGATGACCGGCACTCCTACACGGACAGCTTCCAGCCCTGGTGTCCCGACTCTGGCCCCGGACACCCATGCTCACTGAGCGGCCAGCGGGACACCATCAGAGGTCAACACTGATCCCCAGCTGAATGTCGCTCTGGTGGGACGGGACTAGCCCCCTGGGAAGGCCAGCCCTACTCCCACTGCTGGGCCTGTGCGGGGCTGCTGTTGCCAGGCCTGTGTCTCCTTGTGGAACCAACCACAACTATGGATAGTCATGCCCCAGCTCTTCTCTCCAGGAGCCTCTTGACTGGGATGCTCCACTCCTGAGCATCAGCCCTTCCACACTGTGGGGGGGCCCATTTCAAGCAGGCCGCTGGCCTCAGGTCTCCCTCAGGCCCTGGGACCAAGGCAGGTCATCCCCTGTCTCCTCAGAGCAGGGCCTGGCCTGCAGCTAGACTCGGGGTCCCCTCAGCTATCATCTTTGATCAACGACCAGAAATACCATTAAATTCTCTCTGAATTTGGAACTCTCCTGGCCCACCCCACCCAGCCAGGGTGTGGTGGGTGCGCACCAGGACACTGCTTGTCCATTCCACTTTATTGGGTTGTGTGTGATGGTTCTCATGACATCTCTTGGAGGGTCTGGGGGAGCATTTTTGACACTCATGACTTCAGAACACGTCTGGTGGGGGGGGGGTCCCAGGATGGTGAACACCTGCAGCAGCCCCCTTGGGGAAGAGGAGGTGGAGGTGGGTTGCTGGGCACTGACCCCCGTGGTCCGCACTGAGACCCTCATGGTGATCTCCACCACGTCCGAGCCGGGGGCTAGTGAGGCTGCACCGCCCCCACCACCAATCAGCTTGTCCTGGGGTGTCATCAGGCCCTTCGTCACAGCTGACAACTGTTAATGGAGGTGAATTTAAAAAAAAGTGGGGTCTAGAGAGAAGGGTAGGCAGTAGGTTCGTGGGGCCACAACATGGCAGAGCAGGGAGGGGACAAGGTGTATATACAGGGTGTGTGGGGCCACTGGGCAGGGCCGCAGGGGAGGCCAGGTGAGAGCCTGAGCCCCCCAGGACATCTCCGGTAAATAAATAAATAGCTAGGATAATAAATAAATAGAGGGCTGGGTCTCACACCTGTGGCCTGTGGGGGCTGGGGGTGAGGGGTTGGGGCCAGGGAGGGGACCCAGAGGCTCTCAGCAGGCGCAGTCCTGGTGCGGGGAGGCCTGCTGGTCCGTGAGCTGTGGGCCCTGCTTGGCACCCGTGACCGCGGGGTCAGCCGTGTCTAGTGACTCAGACATCTTCTCACAAATGACGTCCACCAGGCGCTCAAAGGTCTGCTTCACATTGATGTTGTCCTTGGCGCTTGCCTCAAAGAATTCAAACCCTGGTGGGGTTGGGGAAGAAAGGAGTGAAGACCCTGGGAGAGGGCCTCAGCCCCCCACTGCCAGAGAATGGGGTCGAAGGAAGAGAAGGGAGGGACCTGGATAGTCACAGGGCCAACTAGGGCATTAAAGGCACTGACAAGTCCTGCATGCAAGAAACACTTGGCTGGGTCCACCCTGAGTCTCCCCTAATTCTTTCTTCCCCAAACTCATCCCCTCCTCTGCTGGAGTGGCCAGCCTGACCTGTATTCTTCCAATGACTATGTTCCAGAAAGATTACGACCTTTCCCACCTCTGTGCCTTTGCTCAGGCTCTTTCTTCTGCCTGAAAAGCCCTTCCTTTAAGCATCAGATCCAAAGCCCTCCTCCAGGAAGCCTTACTTATGCCCAGGCAGAACCTGGCTTCCTCTAAGGGCTCCTCCAGCCTGGGCTCTTCCATCCCAGCCTCACCCCCACAAGCTGGAGGCTTCTCAGGGGCCCAGTAACACCTAGGATGAAGCTGGGCAGTAAAAGTATCAGAATACTTGGTGACTTTCTGCACAGTGAACCACAAATGCATCAAAACCCACCCCAAATGTCTCCTTAATCAAGACCAAAAAAAATTAAAAAACAAAACAACTCACTGCCATCCAGTCGATTCCAACTCATAGCAACCCCCATTGGGTTTCCAAGGTGGTAAATCTTTATGGAAGTAGATTGCCCCATCTTCCTTCCACGGAGTGGCTGGTGGGTTTGAACCGCCAACCTTCTGGTTAGCAGTCACCAGTTTGCTTAAATTGTGAATTGCCTGGATTCTGATCGAGGCCCTTTTAGGACTTTGCTGTGGGACGCTGTGCATGTCCTTTCCCCTCCAGGGCCTTAGTGTCCTGCTCCTGGCTTTGTATGTCTCCAGCCCTGCAAGGCACTCACCGAGGTGGTCAGCCAGCTGCCGGCCACGCTCTGATGACACCACTCGTTCGTCCTCCATGTCACACTTGTTCCCCACCAGCAGCACCTGTGCATTGTCCCACGAATAGGTCTTGATCTGGGTCGACCTGGAGGAGGCAGCAACAGAGGCAGACTAGGGTCTTGGAGCATCTGAGCCCCCACACATCAGCTCAGAGCAGTCCCCTTGTCCTAGGGAAAAGACCCTTGAGGCTCACCTGGTTGGTCCCACTGCTGCCCCCACATTCTCCTTCCATCTCCCTGTTTGTTGCTCACCCTACTCTAGCCACCAAAAAACCCCCAGTGCCATGAAGTCAATTCTAGCTTATAACAACCCCATATGTTACAGAATAAAACTGCTCCATGGGGCTTTCTTGGCTGTAATCTTTATGGAAACAGACTGCCAGGCCTTTCTTCCATGGTGCCGTTGGGTGGGTTTGATCCGCCAACCTTTAAGTATGCCATGACTAAAAACTGCTTGCACTACCCGGGGACCTTAAACCCATTACTGCCAAGTCGATTCCAACTGACAGAGACCCTATAGGACATAGTAGAACTGCCCCATAGGGTTTCCAAGGCTCTATTGCAGTCTTCACATCTTTCTCCTACAGAGTGGCTGGTGGGTTCAAACTGCAACCTTTCCGTTAGCAGCTGAGTGCTTAACTACTGTGCCACCCCCAGTGCTCCTTCCAGGGACCTTATTGTCCCAGTATTCTTTGAGCATGCCAGGTGTGGCCCCACTTTACAGCCTGTGTCCTGGCTGCTGTCCCCTCTGCCAAGAATATTCTCCTTATCCATCACTACTGCCTCATCCCCCAAGAGTCGCTCCTGGGACCCCCAGTCTCCTGCACCCCCAAGAGTGAGGCCTCTCCTCATCCAGTCTTCCCTCCCTCTGGGTCTTGTTCCCATGGTTCCCTGCTCTTGGAGCCCTCCCCAACCTTTCCAGGCCCCCATCCTACAGAGGGAATCATTACACCCTCCCTAGCAAATACAGAAATTTTTTAAATTACCATGATTTCTGGACAGAAAATCTACAGGTTTATAACCTTTAACCTATGCAAATTATCCTTATAGTTCTCCACACTCCTAGATTTTTGTTCTGTTTGTTTACAGTTTCATTTTTCCATATGAAATCATTTTTTCCCATTATTCTGAGCTGGCATCACACTGTTTTAAAGATTATAGATTGCCAGCAGGTTTGGAAACCCAATATTGTCATTGTTTATATACCTCCCTCATTTTTGCCTGTGCCCTGGGCCATGTGCCAAACCTGGCTTGGGGCACAGTCTGAAAGGGGGTGGTACCAGAGCTCACCAGTCCTGCACGGCATTGAAGGACTCCTCGTTGGTGATGTCATACATGAGAATAAAGCCCATGGCACCCCGGTAGTATGCTGTGGTGATGGTCCGGTACCGCTCCTGTCCTGCTGTGTCCTGGAGAGGAAGAGACAGAGGGTCAGATAAAACCCACACATAACCCCCTTGAAAGGAAAATGAGCTCTGAGATCATCCAGTCCAGACGCCTCAAGGCACAGAGAAGGGTAAGGGCTTGGCCAGGAGCACAGTGGGTCAGTGAGAGACCAGAAAACTAGTACAGAGTCACATGACCTGCAGAAGCTACTCAACAAATGTCCCTCTTCATTCAGCTGTGTGCCTTGTCCTGTGCTGGATGCTAGAGACAAAAATCCCCATCCCTGTGGAGCTGAGAGCCCGGTGTGGTAAACAGATAGTAAACACATAAAAGAAAGACATTATATCTTATGTGGGAGGGTAACAAAACAAGGGCTGAGGTGAAATGAAAGCCAGAGAAGGGTAGGAATGTTAGGGGGAGCACAGTTTAAAAGCCCGAAGGAGGTAAGGGAGGAGCCATGTAGGTACCAGGGGGAAGAGGACCCTAGCGGAAGAGCAGAGCCTGTGCCAAGGCCCTGAGGTAGCACCATGCCTTTGCATTTGAGGAAGAGGGAGGAAGAGGTGAAGGAGGAGGAGGTAGGGGTGGCTGGGCAGAGGCTTAGGCCAAGGGACTTGTTGCCATCAAGTTAATTCTACCATGACAACCCCAGGTGTTATAAAGTAGAGCTACTCCAAAGTTTTTTTTTGTTGTTGATTTTTTTTTTTAACTTATTACTGTTTGGGTGAAATTTTTCCAGAGGGTTTTCTTGGCTGTAATCGTCACAGAAGCAGATCTCCAGGCCTTCCACAGTGCTCCTAGGTGAGTCTGAACTACTAACCTTTAGGTTAGCCAATCACAAACCTCTTGCACCACTCAAAAGGAGGGTGTGGGTTTTACCCTGAGCAAAGTCTCTGGCACTACCAGCACAAGGAAGGATGATTCTGATTTAGGATTTACAGCCTCCTCTGGCCTTCATAAGGAGCTCTGGTGGCGTAGTGGGTAAGACATTTGGCTGCTAACCAGAGGGTCAGTGGTTCAAACCCACCAGCTGCTCTGGGGGAGGAAGATGAGGCAAACCACTTCCATGAAGATTTACAGCCTTAGAAACCCAATGGGGGTTGCTCTGAGTTAGAATCCACTCAATGGCAGTGGATGGATTTGGTTTGGTTTTCTGGTCTTCATGAGGGGAGGAGGAAGGAAGAAAGAGCCTAGGAGAACCTGGGGGAATCACCTGCACCTGTCCCAGGGAGTGATGAGGGGCTGGGGTGCTCTCTCCTGAATCTCCAACCCCTAGGACACAGCAGTCGCCTGATAAATGGCCAGTGTGTGAATGAATTAATTCAGCCTGGAGAGCTAGGGCTGTGTTTTGGGGCGTGGACAGGAACGCAGCTGCCTAGCCACCCCAGACGCACCCAGATCTGTAGCTTGATCCTCTTGTCGTTGCGGTAGATGGTCTTGACCTTGAAGTCAATGCCCACGGTGCTGACAAAGGCAGGCGTGAAAGAGTCGTCAGCATAGCGGAACAGGAAGGACGTCTTGCCCACGCTGCTGTTGCCGATGATGAGGATCTTGAACATGTAGTCAAAGTTCTGGTCTGAGGATTCCTTCTGCCCATAACGCGAGTCTGTGGCAGACGCCATCTGGGGGTGTGGAGTGGAGGCAAGCATAAAGGGTGCTCCCTCCAGCCCTTAAGGTTGAGCCCAGGATGGAGAGAGCCCCAGAGAGGAACAGGCATGGAGAGAACACCCTCATCCCATTACGATCCCCAGCACTAGCGGCAGTGCCCAAGGTTCAGAGCAGCTCATGACCTTGAAAGGCAGGAGGTTCCAGAGGAAGAGCTCAGAGAAACACACAGGGACAGGGGTCACCCTGCAGCCCCCTCCAACAGACCTGTGCCCCAGGTCCCGCTGTAACCCTAAACCAAGCCGCTGCGACTCAAGGTGTGACTGCGGCTGGCCCCGCCCCCATCAATCATTCAGGGCCCTCAGAGAGGAGCTGCGCGGCGCACGTGCACACGCGAGTACACGTACACCACCGCAGGGACGCGTCTGCAACCCCTTCCTCCAACCCCCATGTGTGGAGTGCAAAGGCTGAGGCAGCTGTATCACGTGATGGGGGCGGGGCGTCACACACTCACGTGCACACAGCTGGACATACGCACAACAGCAGAGGTGTGCAAACACTCAGGTGCACAAGACGCAGCTGCAGGCACCAGTCTGCAGATCAACTCGAATATATATGTGCAAACCCACTCGAGCAAACGACGCCCCTCACTCCGGTAGGAATGTACACGTCACCCCGTGTGATACGGGACACGCAGCCCCGTGTGACATGGCCATGCACGCACACGCACAGTGCATGCACGCGTCTCCCTCCACACGCGTACTGCACGAACGCACTTGACCCCAGACCCCCACAGGGACACAGGAGCATACCCAGGTACACACACAAGGGGACACAGTCCCACCGGCACAGGCAGGGCGCACACGCGTGTACACACCACGCGCACGCGCACGCAGAGCTTCTCGCGCGCACACCTCCCGCGCGGCACCCGCCTCCCCTCCCCCTCCGCCGCAGAGCTGGGGGGGCAGGTGAAGATCACACGTCGGGGTGCCCAGCCCCATCCTCTCCCCAGGCCTAGACTGAAGCATCCGTCCCCTTTTAAGCTCCTCCAACCTCGACCCCCATCCCGCCGGCTCATCAGTCAAATGAAGGTTACGCAGGTGTGCAGAGCAGGAAGGAGTGCACAGGGCCGTCCGGGAGCTCACCTTGCCCTGCACCGATACGGTGGCAACTCTAGCAGCGGCGACTTTTTTGGCTGCGGCGGACGGTGTCCCCCGTGCGCTGATGTGGGGCTGCGCGGCAGCGGCGGTCGCGGCGTCTCAGGCCCCTGCAGTCCGCGGTGACGTCCTGCAAAGAGTGGGGCGGGGCCTTGCATGCAGATACGGCCCTGACACCACCCAGGGGCGGGGCCGCGCATGGAGATCCGGCCCGCTGTGACGCACACAGAGACAGGAGGGGCGGAGCTCCGACTCAGATTGACACGTGGATGGGACGGGCCCCAGGATTTCCACCCAATAGTGTGCGGGGGCGGGGTTCAAGGGGCGATGCAAGCAGGCAAAAGGCTCCTGCGGACTCCGTCTCTTGTCAATACCAAGGAGGCGGGGCTGATTGGCGCTCTCTCACGGGCTTATGCAATTGAGCGACGAACTTTTGACCAATAAGAGAGCGCCGCCTCCCTCCTACTGTCCAATAGAGGCTTCTGGGCGGTTGAAGGCCTGAGCGTGTAAGGCCTTTGCGGAACCCTGGCATTAACCCAGCTGCCCCTTCTCTGCCCGCGCCCACCTGGGCTGCTGGAGCCCCGCTACCCCCGCCCTACCAGGAGCTCTGCGACCTCTTGTTAAACTCCCGTACTCCCAATTTCAGAAAAGAGGAGCTAGGGCCCGAGAGATAACTCTGTGCCTCCTCCAATTTATGAAGTTCAAAATAAATACAGAAGAAGAAATACGGGAAATAAATGTCAGTTCCTCAGTATAAAACCCCAAATGGGGAGGGACTTGTAGCGGGTCCACCTTTCACCGTTTCTGAGGCTAGAAAGAAGAAAAAATAGAGGTTACGAGAGCCACCCCCCCATCCCCGGGGACAAAACAAAGAGGCTTTGGGTGCTTCGAGAATCACCCTCATCCCTGCTCCCCATTACTGAGGAAAAAAATTTCAAGAAAAGTGGTAACAGGGGCAGTAAAACGGCCTGTCCCTTAAACCTCCAGAGCCTGAGATATAAGACCGGGAAAAGAGGGGAGAGGGTGAGCAAGGCCTCCAGTCCTACATTCCTCTGGTTAAAAGACCCAACAATAAAGACAAGGAGGCTGTGAGAAACGGAAAACCTCCTCCCTGGCTTCCTGGTTCACGTTTTTGTTGTTGTTGTTTGTTTGTTTTTTAAACAGGACTAGGAGAGACCCTCCCCGCTTCATCCTGGAGAAACAAGAGCAGAGAAATGAGACTTTAACGGCTAAGATGCTCCACCAATGAAGCTCAATCATCCCCCGAAATCTTGACAAAAACGTCAGTTTTGGGGAAAGGGAGCCTGAGACGCTGGCCTCCATTCTGAGTCTCTAATTCGGGCCCTCTACCCAACAGGGGAAGAATGACCCCGCGAGTGTCCTGATCTGATCCCCTATTCCCCCTCAGGAGGGGGGAGGGGGGCTCGTCCTGTTTCTAAAAATCTCCGCAGCTGCAGAGACGCTGAGAGACCAGAATAACTACACTTTGCGGGGCTGGGCTCCTCGAGTGCTGTTCCTCCTGCCCTGGAAGTGCCGGGACGTCCCCCTACCCCATCCTCACTGAATTTGGGAAAACTTTTCCCCCCAGGTTCACATTTCAGCCCCTTCCCCCATTCGGGGATGGTGAAACTTCCTCTCACAAACTTTCCTCATGTTATCAGAAGTGTCCAGTTGAAGGACACCGTGCTCGGTAAAGTAGGGCTCAATGCAAAAGAAGAAACTCTAAGAGATGGATTGACACAGTGGCTGCAACAATTGGGCTCGAACAGCAATGGTTGCGAGGATGGCGCAGGGCCCGCAGGGTTTCCTTCTGTTGTACACAGTGTGGCTATGAATGGGAACCCATTCCACTGGCATCTAACAACAGCCCCCATTCAAACCATAAACATATCACAAACAGACTGCGGAGAACTGAAAGGATTCAGAAAAACATAAAAACAGACCCAGCCTCATTCTCTCCCTCTTCTCCCCTACCTGAAACCAAAGATCAAATACTTGCCTTTGGGTGGGGCTCCATACACCATGACCCCACTTGCACCCCGTAGCAGGGAACGTGGGCAGCCAGCCTGGAGGCCACTTGGCTCCCCTAAACAGAGACAGCAGGCTGCTTTAGGTTTTTCCATTGATTGGTGCTCAGAAATACCCTCTGGTTTTATTGTGGGATGTAGTCGCCCAGAATTTGCACCAGCTTCTAACATCCCACCCAGCAGCAGCTCAGAAGAAAGGCCTGGTGATCCACTTCCATGATGATGACAGGCAAGAAGCTCTATGGAGCACACTTCTACTCTGCGCGCATCAGAATTGACTTGCTTTTTGTTTTTTGGTTTCTGCACTGACGATCTTTTATTTTAAAATAAAAAGAAAGCAAGGCCTGAGGCTCTGGAACTAGGGATGGTTGAGTTGGAGGAGGGGTGTCCTCTGTGTGACAGAAAGCAGAGCTGGAGTGGGAGAAAGAGCTGGGCCTCCGGGTCCCAAACCCTCCTAGGTTCTGCTCTAAATCAAACCAAACCAAACCCACTACCATTGTGTCGATCCAGACTCACAGTGACCCTCTAAGATAGAGAAGAACCGTCCCGTAGAGTTTTCAAGGCTGTAATCTTTAGGGAAGCAGATTGCCTCATCTTTCTCCCATGGAGCAGCTGGTGGGTTTGAACCACCAACGTTTTGGTTAACAGCCCAATGCTTTAGCCACAGCATCACCAGAGCTCCTTAGGCCCTGACCTGTTGTTGTTGTTGTTAGGTGCCGTTGAGTTGTCTCCGACTCATAGCCACCCTATACAGGGCAGAATGAAACACTGCCTGGTCCTGTGCCAGCTCCACAATCCTTGCCATCGTTGTAGCCACTGTGTCTGTCCATCTCGTTGAGGGCCTTCCCCTTCTTCGTTTCCCCTCCACCCTACCAAGCATGATATCCTTCTCCAGGGAATGGTCCCTTCTGACCACATGACCAAAGTAGGTGAGACGAAGTCTGGCCATTCTCGCTTCCAAAGACCATTCCAGCTGCACTTCCTCTGGGACAGATTTGTTAGTTCTTTTAGCAGTCCATGGTACTTTCAGCATTCTTCGCCAACACCACAACTCAAAAGCATCAAGTCTTCCGTATTCATTGTCCAGCTCTCACATGCATGGAGGCGATTGAAAATACCATGGCTTGTGTCAGGCACACCTTAGTCTTCAAGGAGATATCTTTGCTCTTCAGCACCTGAAAGAGGTCTTTTGCAGCAGATTTGCCCAAAGCTATACGTCATCTGATATCTTGACTGCTGCCCTGCTCAGAATAAAATCCTGACTCTTCCTGGTGGCCCAGGCTCCATGCCTCTGTCTCCCCACAGACTGTGCCTTGCTGTTCCTGGTGCATTTGTTCCTTGGGGCTGTGACAGGCCTGTTCCCTCTGCCTAGAGCTGTTGTCTCAGCTCTCCCCAGGCCTGCCTCCCTCTCCTTCTTTGGGTCTCTGATCAAATGTCACCTCCTCCAGGAGGCTCTGCGTTCATCCTGTCACCACCTATCACATGATCATTCTTCTCTCTCCTGATGCATTCCCATCAGAAATTATGTTGACTTATTTGCCAATTACCATCTCTGAGATTCAAAAGGCAGGAACTGGAGTCCCCAGTGCTGTTATGGTGTATGACAGTGAATGAACGATTGAGTGAGTGAATGATTGGAGGGAAGGTGACTTTGGCTGGGCAGCTCAGGAAGGACCTTTCTGAAGAAGTGACATTTGGGCATTTGGACTCCGCCTGAAGGAGGAGGAACCAGACATGGGAGGACCTAGGGGAACAGTGCTCTACACAGAGGGAACAGCCTATGCAAAGACCCTGAGGCAAGAACTCCCTTAATAAGCTCTTCCTTTGGCATAGTGCCTAAGGCATTTGACTGCTAACCAGAAGGCTAGTGGTTCAAACCCACCAGCCATTCCTCAGAAGGAAAACTGGGCAATTCTGTGAAAGAAAGATGAGGAAGTCTGCTTCCGTAAAATTTTGTAGCCTTGGAAACCCAATGGAGGTCGCTATGAGTTAGAATTGACTTGATAGCAGTGAGTTGGGTTTGGTTTATCTCCAAAGAGCCCCCTCTCCGGTTCTGTGGGGGAAGCAAGATTGGTAACTTTTTCCCCCTTAATAGAGAGCAAACAGAGACGTGGCAAGAGAGAGGGGCCTTCAGAACATTCTCCTCCCCTTCTCTGGGTCTGGGTGAGGCCACAAAGACATGAATTGTGCTGGGCCCCAAGGAGGAGAAAATGAGGGAGCTGGGGCCTGTAAGTGGCTTCACCCCATCCCTGTGGGCCTCAGTTTCTACATATGTAAAATGGGGATAAGAAAAAGGACTTTATTTGCATTTCACATCCTGGACGTGGGACAAGCCCTCTTCAAATATTAACTGTTGTGCGATTATTCGATAGTTGAGGGCGTTTTACTCATGAAATGAGGCAGGCTCAGGGAGGTTAGGAATCCCTTGGTGGCACAAATGGTTAAGTGCTGGACTATGAACCAAAAGGTTAAACCAAAAATAAATACAAAACAAAGGGAGCTCTGGTAGTGCAGTGCCTAAGACATTTGACTGCTAATCAGTAGGCTGGCGGTTCAAACCCACCAACCACTCCTCGGAAGGAAGACTGAGCAATCTACTTCCATAGAGATACCCACCTGGGAAACCCAAGGAAGGTTCTCTGTGAATCAGCAGTTCAAATTCACCCAGAGGCACCTTGGAAGAAAGGTCTGGAGACCGGCTTTCAAAAGCTCACAGTTGTACTCTGCACACACGGGGTCGCCAGGGGTCGGAATTGACTCTGCAGCAACCGACAGCCACGGCAACAGGGAGGTTAAAGGCCGTCCCCTGGAGGCTGCTTGGACCAGACACACCTGGCTCAGGCCTCTGGAGATCACAGCATGTCTCCTCCAAAACTCTTGAAAAGCCAGAGACAGGTTTCTATTTAGAATGTTCCTTCTCTCTTTCTCTCCGCCCTCCACCTCCTTTACTTGCAAACCAATATGTGTTCACAGTGAGTTGGAATCTACTGATGGTAAAGGATTTGGTTTTGGTTTGAATATCCTTGGATATAATCCCACTGGGGAACAGGGGTTTCTTTGTTATGTTAATGAGACCATCCGTGTAGGGTGTGTTTTAAATCAATCACTTTTTGAGATACAAAAGGGGCAGATTAGGCACCAAAGCGAGGAAGCACCGATGGGGGAGGACAGATGCCACGCGGAGCTCGCCCAGGCACCGAGGAGCAGACGCTGAGACAAGGACCTTGCCCCAGAGCCCTCGCCCTGAATTCACATTTCTAGCCTCCTGACCAGTGAGAAAATAAATATCTGTCCACTAAAGCCACCCGCTGGTGGTTTTTCTGTTACAGGAACTCTAGGGAACTAAGCCTGTCTGTAAGGCGCAGCAGGAGAGAAACCGTACCCCAAATTGGAGGGAAACACATAAGTGTTCATATAAATGAGTAGAGGGAAAAAAAAGAGAGAAACGCTGAACGTAATCCATCTATAGCCGAGTTTTATCTTCTGCTTTATACTTTTCTGTTATTTCCAAAATCTTTATAGTGAACGCTTATTTCTTTGGAGGTAAAGGGGATGGGGGAGGGGAAGAGAATTATTAATTATAATGGCGATGAATGGCCCATGGTTATAACAATTAGAAATGAAGCCGCTGTTCTCTAATAGGCCCGGGGCTGCTGCGATTACTCGTATCACTTGTAAATTTTCTGGTACTGGGGTGGTGTATGGATCCCCGAAAACGGGGATCGAACCCACTACTTGATCACAGAGCCGCCCCGCCTGCTCCCCGCTAGATAGGCTGCCCCATGAAGCTCTTGTCCGAGGGAGCGGGGTCTGAGCCGCCCACCCCAGAGGTTGCGCTCCTTCAAAGTCACCGCAGCTGCGTTTCTCGCTCCCGCCACTAGGTGGCGCCGCTGCCTACTGCCTGGCAACCAGGGACTTGATAAACCAAAGAAAACAAACGGAGTCCATCCCGACTCATAGCGACATCCACTGGGTTTCCAAGGCGGTAAATCTTAACGGAAGTAGATTGCCAGATCTTCCTTCCGTGGAATGGCTGGCGGGTTTGAATTGCCAACATTCTGGTTAGCACTCAAATGCCTCAGGCACTACACCACCAAAGCTCCTTAGGCACTTGCTGGAGGTGGTGGTGGAATTTCTCTCAGCCTCAGTTTCACCAACCGTGAAATGGGCACAAGACTAATTATGAATGACAGGGTGTCCTACAACCTGAATGAGGGTAGTGGTGGTTCTGAGGTAGAATTCTCACCTTCCATACCTGGGTTCGGCTCCCAGCCAACACACCTCATGCCCAGCCACCACAGTCTGTCAGGGGAGGCTTGCATACTGTTGGCACGCTGAACAGGTTTTACAGGGCTTCCAGACTAAGGTAGACTAGGAAGAAAGTCCTGGCAATCAACTTCTGAAAATCAGCCAGTGTGCACCCTACAGACGACAACGGTCTGGGCCCATTGTGTCAGCTGCGGACTTGATGGCAATGAACAGCAACAGTAACAATGAACTGAATGGTTGATGTAACCCCAGAAAAACGCTCAATAACCTATATTGCTAAGATTTTTCAAGTGGGTCACCAACCCCCAAGCTAAGTTTATCTAAGTATTAAAGTCAGGCTATGGGTAGAGAAACTGAGGCCTGGGTGGCTGTGACTTGCAAGAAAGCCTCCGAGGCCTTCCTCCCCTGGGTGGGGTCTAGGGCAGCCTCAGGAATCCAAGGGTTACCTGTGTGGGGGAAATTCTGTGCTTTTGTGCCTATTCTACGAGGGAGAGAGAGAGAGAGAGAGAGAGAGAGAGAGAGAATGCGTGGGTGACTCAGCAGCAGTGGGACTTGGGGGCCACAGAGAGCAAGACACATGGACCTGTCATGATCCCCTTCCCCACTGCAGTGCCAGACTTGGACCTGGATGAATGTTCCATGCCCCAAATCCCTCCTTCAGATTATCTTGGGCAGAGCAGGAGGGGAAGGCACTTGTCTGGGGGGTGGGGTGGATATTACTCCTCAGAGCTGCCTTCCCTCTCCCCATACACACACATATTGCTACCACAGAGGCACATACCAGGCATAGGCCTGGTACATAATACATAGTAAGTGCTTAGTAAATATTTGATAAAGAATAAAGTGACGGTCATGGCATAAGAGTGACTGCTGGAAAAGCTGGATGAGGCGTCTGGCAGGAACGCCCTCTCCGTGCTAGGGATGGCTTCTAGGAGGGGGGTCCCAGGGGCGCTGCAGGAGACAGCTCTCAACTGAGCCTGGATGCAGAGTGGACTCCAGCCAGGAGTCTCCAACTTTACCCCAACACCTGCCTGTAACTAACGCTTGGCTGTTTCCCTCAATTGGTAGGAAGAGGAGGCCAGGACCTCCTCCAGAGAAGTCCACCTGCTAGGGGCTCTTAGGTGCCAAAGTCAGCCATCACTTTGTCCTCACAGTCCATGAAAGGCTTGTGCACAGTCCGACGGTTGTCCAGCTGGGGGATCTGGGGGTCCAGGCTGGACTTGGGGGATGGGAGCTCAGTGGCAGCCAACTTTAAGGCCTCCGCACACAATGCTGCCTGCACTTCCTCCTCCTCCTCCTCTTCTGCCTCCTCCAGGGTCAGCTCAACCTGGAACCGCCCCACTGGGTCAAGACTGCCTCGCTGAGGGCTTCTGGGAGCTGGGGGGCTGCGAGGGATTCTGCTCTGATACCACTCGCGGTTGTCCTCCAGTGTGTCCAGCAGGCCTTGGGCATCAGGGTGTACCAGGTCAGCCCACGTCTCCCACAATGGGTGGACGATGTAGTCGATGAAACCGACCTGGGGGTGGTGAGGGGCAAGGTGGGTACATAGTGAGTGAGTTGCAATGGACCCTAGACCCACCCAGTTCAGCCTCCAGGCCCGGCCCTGGCTGTTCCTTTCATCCAGAATGCTATAACTCGATTCTCACTCATCCTTCAAAACCCTATTTAAATAAGCCCTCCTCCAGGAAATGTTCTCTGTCCCATCTGGGCTCCCCCACCCTGACTTCATGGTGCCTTTGCCCTCGGACCTGGGACTTCTCCACGGAGGCCGTGTGCTTGTCGCACATGGGGCTGATGTCCAGGCCTATCTCACGCTCCCGGTCGCCCTGCTGGAAGAACTCAGCCATAATGCGGTCGGTCCACTGGCGGTACAGGGGCAGCGGCTTGGTGGGGTTGCTGAGGTCAGCACAGTGCACAAGGTTCTGCAGGACCTGGGGAGACCGAGGCTCAGGAGGGCATAGGCTGGCTGCCCCCTCAGGCCTGGCATCCCTCTCCCTATAGCCTGGTACCGTGGCCAACCCTTCCTACAGGTGGGAAAACTGACACCTGGGGGGGCAGGGAGAGTGGCAAAGACACGGGCACGCGATGCTTGGCACGTCCACGCAGTCGGCACTTTATAAATGCAGTTAAATGAGTGACTGCTCAAGCCCACCCAAAGCCATGCACCTGGATGCGGTCGGAGTAGTTGTCCAGCAGAAGGACACCGAGGCTGGCTACCTTCTTGGTCTCCACCATGGTCTTGAGGTCAGCCAGCAGGTTCATGTGTTTGGACATATCGGTGGCCAGCACCTGGGGCCAGGGGAGGGGATGAGGTGAGAGGACCTTGCCCCTCCCCCCAACTCCTCACTCCTGACCTCCCAGATGCCATCCGGCTCCCACCCTCAGCCCTCTGAGCCTTAGTGTCCTCATCTG